CAAATGGGACACTGCCTCATTTTGGCCAGGTAGAGGTAGAAGTCCAATTTTCCCATTGGCCTCCAGTGACACTCTAGGCAAAGTCTCCTCGTTATTGCTTGGCGGGGATTGACTTTCTAGCTTCCCAGATGATCTCCATTGATACCTCCGTGGGGGTAGCCTCTGCACTGGGTAACAGAGAAGACCCTGACTCTCTACCAGACCTTCTCTAGCCAACCTATTGGTGAAGTTTTATGTGCCTCATTACTGCTGGGTGGGAGTGTAAGTCAATGCTCCTTGTGTTCTCCACTGATACCCCTGGAGAGCGAGAGGGGCTTCCTACTGGCCCATAGGAATTAGCGCAGTGGCACCTTTCTTGGCCTTCTCTGATGATCCCACACCAGCAGGAGTGTTCATGTGCCTTGTTACAACCTTATGAGGGTAGAAGCCTAGCCTCCCCACTTGGACTGTGCTGGCATTGTTAGGGTAGGACTATAGTTTTCTCCATTGTTGTCTATAGTAGGGCAGCCATTGTCTAAGTTTTCTGTCTTTGCTAGGCTGCCCCTTTTCCCTGGTCCTTTGGCTAGATAGAGTAGGCTTTTGTTGAGGCTTTTCTCATCTCACCTTTTGGCATTTTCAGGTTACCCATTTCTTCAGCTTCAAGTCTGGGATAGATGACACAAAAATAAAATCCAGTGAATTCACCAGCATGTTGTTACATGGTCCCCAGGTTCCTCGTTGGTCTGCTTTCTTCTGTCTACTTTTCAGAGCTTTCTTATATTTGTTTATATACAATGTCCAGGGTTTTTAGTTTTTCTTAATGGAGGGAATAGGGGAAAGTATGCCTAGTCAATCTACCTAGGAGCAGAAATCCCACTGCCTCAATGTTTAAAACTTAACCTGCATGTTAAAAAATCAGTAAGTAAAAGAGGCACCATAGAATAAATGGTGTGGATAGAAAGTGATAGGACTGTTTTGTTGTCCTTGTTTTACAAAATCTCTGAAGCTGACTCACTTCAATGAGTGCTGCCAATTCCTTAAAATCAGTTACTGAGTTATCCTTTGTAGATGATTCTGTGTTGTTACAATGCTCCCAAACATTTTTAGAACTCCTTTGGACTTCATTTTAGAGAATGATTGTGTCCATTCATATATTTTCAGTGGCATAAATTATCATCTTTTGAGGCTATGTTTAATTTTTGGAATCAACCCCAAGTGACTCAAGAGCCAAGATGGGTAGTAAAACAGATGACCAAATTAGATAATACACTACTCAGGCTTACACTCTTTTGTAAGAGAATAGAGTGAACTAAAGTATTGTCATAGTCAGAAAATCATTTCTTTCATATCACACAAAATTCCCACACGCTTTCAATTTCCATATAATATGCCTGATTAGCTGTGGGATGAATTTTGCAGAAAGGTATCAAATCAACATTTCTTTTCTGTGGTGTTGACATTAATATTTCCTTGGGTCCTATGCGTATTGGAGTTTTTCCCTACAAACTTTGACAGTGTGTTTTTTGGGTCAACTTGAAAACACCATATTCCATCACTGTTCTCCCCAAATAGATGTTATTTTGTCCAACCTACCCTTAAAAGTTCAAAACAAATATCAAATCTTCTCTATTTCTTTTTATCATTCAAATTGTGTAGCACAGACTTCACCGAAACCTTCATGTTCAAATTCCCCTTCAGTATGAGTCAGTGTTCTCATAGCCAACCCTCTGCTTGAATTAATCCAGTCTCTGACATTTTCGACATTTTCATCAGTCCTTTGTACTTCACCATGAGCATCCTTATCACCTTTCTTAAGCTTTTGTGCCTGTCAGAAAAACCTCCTCATTGCAGTCCCTCCACACCGTCATTGTTTCTTTAGACGTCTTGTGTCATTTGTGTTTGCTTAACTTCATACAAAATTTAGGGTTAATCCTTTGCTTTCTACAGATGGCTTCCCCATTCATGGCAGCCTATAGCCCAAATACAGAGTGAACGAACTGCGGCTGATCAAACAGAATCATTTTACAGCATGTTTCTTCAAGGGCCCACTTTATGGTTTGCTAAGCCATATAAGAACATGAGCTTCATTGCTTCATAATCATGGAAAGATTACTAAATACACAGAGCATCAGCCTATTTGCTTAACTGTAAAGCTTCAAGTCAGAGGTGTAGGATTTAAAACAGATAATAGACCTAATTAAGTAAGGAGGGATGGCCCTTTGGCAAATTAAGGAGCTGCTAAAGACATTGAATATGTTCTACCTCAACAACCCGATCCTTTTTGTGAATTGGGCTCCTTTGCAATTCACAGTTCAACTATGGGCGGTGGGTGTCTCTTTGGAAGGAAGGGGGTTGCAGTATAAGTTTCTGTTTCAGAGCATGACTTCTGATAGATAGCCTTGATTCAAGTCCTAGTCCAGTTGATTTACCAGTTGGCAAATGACTTGGGAAAGTTATTTAACGTCTCCAAGTCTTAGTTTTCTCCCAGTAAAACTGGATAATAATAATGCTCTCTAATGCTGTTATAAGAATTTAAGGAGATAATACATATAAGGCAAGTTTGAGCACATTGTTGGCATCTAGTGTTTGGATGGAAAGCACTATTTATTAAATGCCAGTTACTATGCCAGTCATTAAAGATGGCAGGGAATTTGTGTGTGCCCTCAAGTTCCAAATCAAAGCATAATCCTGAGCTCAAACTGTCCCATAAGAAGGAAAAAAATAAACCAGAAAAAAGGAAATCTAAAGGCTGTCACAGTTTTATAACATAGAGAATTAATTTTTCACTCTTGGACAGATCATTACCAGAATATTCTAATCAATGAAGTGGCTGTTAAGCAGTCATTATTGATTTTCTCATGTAGATTATTCATCATGAAACTATAGCTATGTTCTGGATCTCTCCAAGTTTTTCTGGGAGTTAAAATTCTTGGCTTGTCTATGTGCTCACTTTCAATTAAACTGCCAGTCTTTCTCTTCCCCACTGACTCAAGCAAGCAATGACTGAAGACCACAATTATTATGCCAATGGAGGTGAGAAGCAGGCAAATGTAAAATCAACTGATAGTTCGGTAGCCAGGCCAGTCAGCCTTAGTCAGCCTATACCTCGAATTCCTCTAACAACAGGGAATTATTTTCTCTAACTCAGGCTGCCAGTGAGTTCATTCGGAGTGTAGCAGTTCAAAATGTGATACTGGTTTTATCATGGCTTTCCTCTCCTCCCAAACAAGAAAACATGAAATTTCATGGAAGTAGGAGAGAATTCAATTTGCAATAAGGGAAAACTAGACCAGAAGGCTTACTCAATCTTTTAGAATGATTGAGAAGGGAATAGATACAATAGAGAAATACACATTTGCTTTTATAAGATTATCTTAGTTGTGTTTATGATGCTATGGTTTTGTGACTGCTGGTTAATTGTGTTGGACACTGTTGGATTACTAATTGTTTTTGCTTGTGCTAGTATAGCCTGAAACTCTTTTTTGCACCTTTTCCTTCAATTTCTCATGACTGAAATATCTTTACTGTTTTAAATGTAAAAACAACAACAAAAAACTATACATGATACTAAGACAACCAATTGGACACCTAAAAATATAATCAAATGGTTATTTCCTTTGTTCTACATATGGCCAAATAATAATTTTGAATATTTTCTTCATTGAAGTTACCTCTTGATTTGGAACCAAGCAATATGCCTTCCATATTCTTCAAATGATTTTCCATAATCACTGTCGTTTCCTGATGTCTCTTATGTTGCTCTTCTTTAACAGCTTTTTAAAAAATTAATCTCTTCCTTCAATATTTGTTTAATAGTCATTCCTTTATTCCCCCAACCTGACTTTTTCATAGTAATCAAAATCTTGGTTAGTCAGGAAAATTCACAGGCTTTCTTAGCTAAAGAATTCTAAAGTGAAATTCACTTTTGAATTCCAAATTACCTACCCTGAAAAGATCAACAAGAAAGAAAATGATTTCAGGAAGTAAACCTTCAGATCCTTCCATAGTAATGGGTAAAGTACCAAGCACAGCACTAACACATATGTTTAAAACTATTAATGATAAACATTCACTTCCCATGTTAGACTCCCAGGTTAAACCATACTTAATTTTCAAACCATATTCTAGATTACCAGCTCACAAACAGAACTGCTTTCCTGATAGAAAATATCTTAGGTAGAATTACTCAAGGAACTGATGCTACAGAGAAGGGGAGAAAATAGGAGTGAACAAAGGAGCGGGAGTTTGCATCAGATCATTTAAAGATGGGAGACCACAGTGAGCATGGCCTCTCTCCTCCAACAACTGCCTTAAGAACTGAGAAATGAGCATTACCCCTTTAAATGAAAGGTCCTGATGAATCTCTGAAAGCTCATCATGGATGATCTGCCTACAGAACTCACCTTGAAGACCTTTCCAGATCTGGTGCCTCCACAGGCTATCGATACTCACAGGAATTTATCACATAATTAATTGTTAATGTAACTTAAAGATCCCAAAGTTATGTTCTTGATTTTAAAATGCAGAAAATTTATAAATATTGATTAGACTCATGTGAACAATCTTACTATGACTTGTGGCATAAAGGAAACTATGCAATTTAATTCTTTTGCATCAAAATTAAGAACCATTTTCCACTTGATGTTTCATATATCGCATCTGTCTCCCTGGTATTTTTCAAAATGAAATGCCACATAGAACTCCACTTTAGTTTTAAGTTGTGACTTCTTTACCTTGAGATTTTGCAGACTGAATTTTGTTCCCTTAAAATAGGAGTTAAAATAAACTTTGGCAAACCACCAGATGACTACGAATGTATTTAATGCAACCTTGCTTCGATATTAACATTTTCACAAACCACAGTAGGCAGACCCTTGCTGTTTTTTCATTATCTTTTCTAACCATGGCTGAAAACCCAAATGATGCCGCTTTACCAGAGAAGTATTCTGTACATGTTTTCTACTTTAATCACATCCTTTCAACACCACGGATCTTCCCCTGACAGATTATCTTCTCCACAGGCAGGCAGCCATATCCAGACCTTGATGGGGTCCCAAAGCCTTCAGCATCGTAGCCGGGAGCAGCAGCCATATGAGGGAAATATTAACAAAGTGACCATCCAGCAGTTCCAGTCACCATTGCCTATTCAGATCCCCTCTTCACAGGCCACCCGGGGACCTCAACCCGGACGGTGCTTAATTCAAACTAAAGGGCAAAGGAGTATGGATGGATATCCAGAGCAGGTGAGAGGAGTTTTTACAAGTGATGAATGTTCAGGAAATGTTCAGGAAAGTCCAATGAATCCATGGTTTGTCTTCCCGCATTAATGCAGTCTGGGGACACAATAATGCTGTCACTATGTTGAATGGAGAGGAGCGTTCTTTGTAGGGATTTTATTATTATTTGCAGTGGTTAAAGACAATGTATAGGAATTGATGGTTGATAAAAATGCCCATTTTACATAAGGAAAAATGGATGGATCAGAATCGTTTTTCCGGTGTATCCTACACCCTCTCCTACCCACTCCCAATTCCAATTTGGCTCTATAGCAGAGCTTTTGGATGTTACAAAGAGCTTCAATGGATTGGATGTCGTTACCACGGCCTCTGAAATTGACAGTGCTAAAAGTAAATTGTATGTCCTTCTCTATTTGTGGAGACACTTTTTATAAGTCCTATATTCTGGTTGTTGAATAGAATAGAGATAAAGCTTTCCTGTGAAGAAAGTGATAAAGAACAGTTAGCAGGGAAACATTTCTGAAATGCTTCAAAAGCTACTGATAAATGCCATGTAGCAAAACGATTGCTGCTCTTCTGACTGATCTAAAATTAGGATTTGTTTTTTTTTTATCATTATAGAATCTGTTTTTCTTCCCTAGGACCAGAAAACTGAATAGGATCTCAGTTATTGAGTTATACTAAGCTTAGAAAGTAAGATGTTAAGATCTTAATATTCTTATAAAATGAATTTCTCTTACTTCATTCTTCAGATAATTAGGCCTAGCTGACTTTGCCAACTGACTCCACTAACTGCTTAACATGGTTTATAAATGTTTTACTTTATTATTGCTTCCTCAAAGCTTCACATATCATCCACCTTCTTTTCTGAAAACATCAGACAAGATTATCTTCATCTTCTAGTTTGTTCTTTCCTACAGTTAAGAGCCATTTGTTATTTACATCCCAGTGGCTCTAGACAGTTCCTCAATTTCTTAATACCTTTCTCAAAGTTGAGATTATGTATTAATCTTACTTAGAATCATAGGGTATTTTAAAGATCATTTTTTTTTCTATCTTGCCTTGATCTAGGCCATGTGTTGGATTTAAGGTAAAATAAATCAGACAGGTACCTTTAATGAAGTAATAATGTGAGGTTTGTAATTCTCCAGAGCTTCTAAAAAGTTAATAAAGTTTTACATTATGATTTACCAAAGGCATCTTAGAAGGTTAAAAATTGTTCATATCGCCTCCCCCACACATATCACAACCTCAATTCAGTTCTCTGACTTAGTTATTCTTAACAGCAGCTACATGGTTTGCTTTCCTCAGAAAAATCAATGCATTTAAAAATTCACTGAGATCAATGCCCTCTATTTTCGTCTACCTTCAATAGTAAGTTTAGTATGTATTTATTAGCATACTAATTATTAGCATGGACTTATCCTGAACACTCCAAATTTAAAGGTTTTTTTTTACATGATTCCTCCAAAAACAAATAAATTATATAGTTTGACTAATGAGAGGATTAATAAGTTTTGAAGTTTACAGGCTTATTAAATTTAAAATGTCATGATTCTTTCAGAAACTGTATTTAGAGTCCCTTAAGAGTGTTTCGATTTGTGGCTCTAAAAACATCAGGTGCCTTTCAAACTGAGAAGTGAAAGCTTAAATATTTAATCATTGTGTTAAGGAAGGGACTTAAGTATGAAAAAAAAGTTGTGCTCACAAGAGCTCCACACTTGGTTTAGTGCTCTGTTGTCACCAACTTTTAATTCTTAATCATTGAACAAAGAGCCTCACATTTTCATTCTCACTAATTAAATAGCTGGTCCTGCTTATAGATACTATTTTATTTAATCCTCATAATCTTATTTCTCTTTTACAAATGAAGAAACAAAGGTACAGAGAAATTAAGTAACTTGTGAAAGATATAATTGGTCAAGCTATAATTTTAACCCAGATTTGTTTGACCCAAAATCCAAGTTCTTTGTCCCAATCTTACTATTAATCCAGTAATATGATTTCAGATACTTGCCTGCTGTAACCTTAGTGTCCTCTTCTGTTAAATGATATTAATTAAACCTGGTTCAGCTCTAATTCAGAACTATAGAACTGCAGTATGCAGATAGAGTTTTGACTTGAACTCACAGGAACACTTCCAATGCTTTGAAAAGCAAAAAATACTGAATGAATGAAAGTTTTATTAACAAAAACATACCTCTGTACCCTTAATACAACCTAAAGAACTAATGTATTTTTAATCTGATTAAAATAATTTCCATATAGCAATGAAAATATGAGTATAATAAATGCTAACACTAATGAATTGAATGAATTAAAACACATGTCATTTTTTACCTAGTCAGAGTACTTTGTTTAGCCGTTAAGAAACACTTAGTAAACTTTGATGTCCATCTCAACTTTCAAATTACCCATCACAGTAGGGAAAGCATAAATAATAAATAAACAAACAAACAAACAAATAAATAAATAACAGGGAAAATCCCGAAGAATTCTAATTTAGTGTATTGACGAACGTAATAGAGGGTAAGAATCAGGGTTGTATTAAGTAGTAAATTGAAGAAAGCCAGAAAGTGAAGATTTGACTCCCATTCCACATGAGAAAACTCTGAGCTATCATATTCATCCTATTAGTGCTTCCCTTTGATTCTCAGTCCAAGTGAAGAAACTTAAAGAGTCTATTCACCTGACTCTCCCCTTCACAATAAATTATTTATATCACTTGTTCTCAACCACAGCTGTACATTAGAATCTGTTGAGGAGATTTAAAAAACACTGATACCTTGGCCTAATCCCCAAAGAAGCTGATTTCATTAGTCAGGATGTGATCTCAGTACTGGGAATTTTTGAAACATCCCTAGGTGATTCTATTGTGTAGACAATGCAAGAAGCAATATTTAAGATTCTATATCTCATGTATGACATCGGGGGTGGGGAGGCAGTGGCTGGGGGGAGGAGGGTTGTCACTTTGTGAGGGGTGAAAAGGATAGCTAGTGCATTGTTTTGTACACCTGAAACTAATCATAATAATAAAAAAAATTTTAATTAAAAATGAAAGAAAAAAGATTCTATATCTCAACAATGTATCAGCTGAATAATATATTGTTATTATCACCATTTAAAAATATACATAAATTGTCCATAACTTATTGAATATTTTTAAAACGAATGAACATTAACTTAGTTTTTCTCTTTTACAAATGTATAATCCAAGCAAAGTATATTTACATATGGGGAACATATAGATAGATACCAAAGCAGAAACAGGAAGGAAAAACATCACTGCGATGCTTCAAATGGCTCAAAACCCTTTCAAATATTAACTCACTTCATTTAATCAATCATGCTGTGATACGGGTAGAGCAGTCAGTTTGTTGACTAGAAAATTAGAAAATTAAGATTCAGAGACGTTAACTGTCTTGCCTGTGGTCACATAACAATCTAGAAGCTGAGCTGGAATTAGAACCCAGCCTCCTGAGTCTACCGCATTACACACTGCAGCCCGCGGCACTACAGTCAAACACGGGGGTCACGAGTAAGCCCACGCTGAGGAGTCCAACAGGGGAAAACGTACACACCCAGGAGTCCATGTCTATGCCCAGACAAGAGTTTATACCCACTAATTGGCCAAACATATCAGGACGGTCGGTGCTCCATAGCTGTCTCCTGCCAGTTCCTGCGAGTATTCAAGCAAACGCAAGTTTGTTCCTGAAAGACAACTTCAAAGAATTACATTAGAATCAGCCTCTGTGAGTTATACAAAGTGATTTGTATCCATCAGATCAAGGGAGAGAAAAAGTGCAGCCATTTCCGTGGTTCGTGCTACTAGGTTTTAGAGCACTGAGAGTTCTAGAGACGATAGATGCTGACTCACAGGGCCTCACTGCTACATAACAGTCCGTGGTGTCCTGGGCCTCTCTAAGATAGACCCAGTATTTATTTAATTAGAACAAGGGTAGCACAGACCAGAAGTATCGAGTGAAGTCAAATGATGAAAACACACTGTGAAAAAAAGCAAAAACACCACTGACTGCCAGGCCAAGCGGTTGCTTATATCTTCAGCCAGAAATGTCATTCATTATCAATTATCTTAATAGAAAATTGAAATGCTGATTCTCATTAAATAAGCTTTTTATTAGCTGCTTAGATCTGACCTTTTGCTGAAACGCTGCATTTCCTCTTGGCTAATTCTCTTTAGTTTCAGACTGTTTCTTGGCTGTGAGGTATTCTCTCCTCTTAAATTCCCCTTGGGGCCTTACCAGGGAGGTGGAACTCCTTATATGTGAGACTCTCTCTGACATGCTTTATGGGCACAGCAGTCACAATACAACTTATTAGCCATACCATGGCATGCCCAAGGTTAGTCTAGCTTCAGATAAAATCACAGTGTCATCTTTATTCCTTCTACCATTAAAAAATATATTGAGGCATTTCTTCATATACTTGGCACATATGAAATGTGTTTCCCTTGGATTTTTAGTGCCTTCCAGATTGACAATAATATAAAATAGATATCGTCACTACCTTGAAAGAGATAAGTATATATCTTACCTAAGATAAGACTAGAAAATATCCCCAGCAATTTACTTTGTAAATAAAATCTGTTGCATGTATTTCCTTTCAGGTTTTGTAGTGAGTGGCCTGGGAAAGCCAGAGAGTGCATATGCCTTCTACATATTGTATTGTGCAATATGAAATTTTAACATTAGAAAGATATAACCCAAATTTTAAATAATTTAATTAGAAATGCATAGGTATATGGGAAAACACAAAGGTAAAATGTTTAAATCATATTAATTCCTTTCTTCCCATTTTCTAATGGACCACTAATAACAAAAAAAAGGACTACGAGGTAAACTGGTGTATTAATAGAGCTAAAATATTCCTTCAAGCCACAGCAAACTATTGTATGTCCATTTCCACAGACAATGAGCCATGTGAATACAAAACTATCGTAAACTGTACTTTCTAACATCCTATGATAACTAGTTTTAACAAATCTAGCTCAATGAAAGGAAAAGTTGTAATTAAACATATCTTTAAAATAAATACATGGAAGAGTACTTACTGTAATTGCAGTGACCCATAATTTAGAAACTATTCATTAATGACTCTACCATAAAAGACACATTAGTAGACAGTTTTCGCCTTTGTGTGGCAAGTGACCTATGTAATAGTTAAACATTACATTTACTATGATGAAATATGACAGTGAATTAAGAATAATACCATTAAATGGCCAAACCTAATTGTTCCAGTTCCTAGCGACTCACAATATATGCTGATTAAGTCAGGAATAGGATTCAAGTTTGCCTTGAACTATCTAAGAGGTAGGGATTAAAGGTACCTTGAAAATAAAAATATAGAGAGCATTTTGGGCATTTGCATTTGCCCATAAGCAAATTAATAGGCTAAGAAAGATTGCTGGGGAAACAGAGAGCTACTTAAGAAAGCATGCATTTCCAATCATCTTTAAGAACTTTTCCAGTATATATTTATATAAATGCAAAATATATGCTAATATATTGCTTTAGATTCTTTTTTCTTAATTCTCTATTAATCTTTCACCTGCTAGTCTGATAAAACTTGGTTCACCTAGTGCCAGTACTTGTTCTGTACTTAAAAGTTATAAAAGTGTTTTTTTTTTCTTTATGTAACCAAAGTGTATGCTACCTCTAAGGTCTTAAGTCTTTCAATCATGTGGGATCAACCTGCCCGCTACTTTACACGGAAAACTAGGATTTTCACCACAGCCCACACACATATCCCTAGCTCAGGATCCTCAAGAATTTCAGGTTTGTTATAGTTTCTCTAGGTCACTCCTGGCACTGATTTCTCTTTTATGGACTTCTTGATCGACATTCTTTGTATCAACTCCTATAATAGCTATCATCTTTATTTACTAAGGCCTTCCGCCATGGTGGACCTACCCATAATGCCACCATTTCCCCGTGGCACTACAAAGCACAAAGCTCTTGTATTTGACAGATTTTCATTGATGATTTGGAGTTTGGGGAGGTAATGTAGCACAGAATACTAGAATATTAGTCCTCCAGTCTTAAATACTTTTTGGCTATTCCCTGTCACAAATCATTTTTCCCTGTGCCTTGCCTCTCTTTTTCACAGTGTTCTCCTCTTTCTTCCAAGTCTTCTATCACCCTCTCCAGGAGCTGCTGCTGAATCTCTCTTTTTACCGAGTATTTCATTCTTCCTTTCTTTTACCTTCATTCAGGCTATGGCCAAAAGTTCTCCCCTTTCTCAAACTCAAAGTCCTGCTCTGTCTAAACAATAGAATGATCTACCAAAGAGATGAATCACACTACTCTTCTACGAAGCAGTAGAATTTATTTAAATAGCCATGTTTCCCCCCCCTCTATGTTTGCAAATTTTCTTCCCCTTATTCATACAGTTCTTTCAAATTAGTTGGAATATTTGGGCATTTAAACTGGATAATTGAAATAATTCACAGCCTTTTTTATTACTATAAGGCTTTTAATTTTTAAAAACTGCTAATCAAGATTCAGTTCTCCACACAATAATGAATAGATACTTACTAATATTCTGCTTACCCAGGTAATTTCAAGCTAGTTTCAATCATAACTGATGCCTATAGAAACACTAAATATTTTGTCAGTTTATACTGTCTTTTGTGTACCAAGTTACAATAGGGTAACCCTGAGAACCTAAGTGAAATGTGAACCTTTTCTATTTGGATGCAGTTATTTGAAGATATTTAGTTGTGATATGTATTTGATTAACTTTTTATTATATCTTCTTTCCATAGTTTTGTGTGAGAATAGAAAAGAATCCTGGCCTTGGATTTAGTATCAGTGGTGGAATTAGTGGACAAGGAAATCCATTTAAACCTTCTGACAAGGTAAGAAATAAATTTCTTATTGACAATTTTAATTAGAAAAACACTGTCTTCTACCACAAGAAAAAAAAATGGTTAGAAAAAATTGTGTTTCTACTGTGCTTTAATAAGCCAGCTACCTATGAAGCCAATTAGAAACTTTTTCAGCACTGGGAAAAAGAATTCACTGCAGTGCTTGATAAATCCTAAAAATAAGTAAATTTAAGCATTCTCTTTGGAAGGAAACTTGTTCATTTTTTTGCCTTTTGTTCACAATTGTACATATTTGTAATGAAAGCTATTCAGGCAATTTCTTATAAGTTGTTACAAAAGTTTACCTGTAGATCACTTAGTTGAGATGTTTTCTCATACTAACAGAATGATTAAACAAGGAGTCAATGCCAGAGCCAGCTGACTGACATCTCTTTAATTTATCATGTTTGTGAAGTATTTCACTAATAGAACTGTAGAACTGAAAGACCACCGAAAACTAATATTCTCTGAGAAAATCGGAGTTAGCCATGGCAGAGGAATGAAGTCCTCTTCCCATGCTTACCCCTGTTTGTCAAGCCATGGCCAAAGGTTCGCCACCACCCCCAGCTCTAACCTCAGCCATTGCCTGGACCCCCAACACGCTGCCCATACTCACATCTGGCCTGTCTGATCCCATTGTGGAACACCTGACTTTTTTATTTTAAAAAATTTACCCTGAGCTATTTACCCTGCTACCATCAGTGTTTAATATTTTCAGACTTGAATCAATTAGTAATGATAATTCGATGATAATTGAAACTATCTGCTTTTGACCTCATCACATTTAATTGCATTTAGTGACATGAAACTTGAGGGTGATGAAGACAGACAGAAATTAGATATGAATAAAACCTCCACAGGCTCTCGATCTACCTTTAAGTCACAACCGGGTGCAGATCTTTGTAACTCGCCATTAAAAAAATAACTCACACATCAATTTCTGGTCATAAAACCTGCTTCTGAAAAAACTTCAATGCCCCTACTCTGGAGATTTTTGTAGCCTGAAACACCCATCACCCCTTATTTTCCTCCACTTCTTCCCAATCTTATTGTTTCCTACCATTCTTTATGCCCTTCTTCTACTTTCTAGAGAAGTTAAGGGAGGAAGAGCTTGGACCAAAAGGAGGAACTATTCACACTGTACACATTAGGATGTTAGGGACTAGAAAGAAATCCTCAATGGCCATAGATGGGAGCTCCTTTTGTCAACTGGTTGGAGCAGCTACTCATATACAATAAATGTGTATGAGGCAGCCCTGTGTAGTTAGGGGAATGCCAGTTAGAAATGTTTATGCATATGCACTTCTATTTCAAAATGATATTGAGGACAACCATTGATTTAGTAGAGTTAAAAGATTCATGGTGTAGTAGGACCAAGTGTTTACTGAACTTTGACAAGTTATTAATATATATTAAGACAAAAAGTATGAAAGTTCAAAATTATCAGAAACATTTGATGGTATTTTTAAAAGTCTGAAATCATTGTCTTGTGTGTCTTGGTCCCTCGTTTTGTCTCTGGTTTTACATCTCCTCCATAAATTCTTTCATTGGAAAGTTAATAACCTTATCATTCTTAAGATAGTTGAAATTCAAAAGACATGTTTTTCTACCTTTCCTCACCAGCATATATATCTTTTCACTATATTTTTTGGAAATCACAGGGTAATAAATATTTTTATATCAAGGATGAACAGACTGCTAAATAGTCAAGGCGTCTGAATGCTGTTGCTCTTCTGCTGTTATTTTCAACTGAGGGGGCAGTCGATGTGAGGCTTTCCGATCGTTGCCCATAATTCTTCCACTATGATGAATATGAATACTTTGTAACTATTAATATAACTTCTCATTTGTAACATTTTCATGACTCCAGTGAGACTGAACTATTTCTATAATCTTATAATTCGCTCTTTTGGTTAAAGGCAACAGATATAGAGCTTGAATTGTATAATGTATTCATTGAAAGAGTCCCCCTCAAAAGCACTTTTCTTTGCCTGATTCCTCTCTAAAACACTTCACAATCTGAAATGTGAATCTCTATTATTGCAAAATTGATGGGAGTAATTAAAAGTTCCAAATGTACAGAAGATTCTCAAGACTGCTCTTAATTTATTGACCACTTTTGGTGCCATGCCAAACATATGGTGGATACTTAGTTGAAAGTGTTCAGAGGATCTAAAAAGACATTGGCTGCGACAATTTATACAAGAATTTAATTCACTCACAAGAAAAGGGATTGTTCTCTTGAGAATTCAATTATATTTCTTTAGCTCCAGTGCCCCACTCTTATAGTAGTTGCATAAAATTTAGAGTAGAACACAGTACCTAAACCAGCTCCAAAATACCAAACAGTAAGAAAATGAAAATGAACTGTAAAAATACCCCTCTCTCCACAAAGCAATGTTTTTTGGTTTGTTTTTTTCTGAGTTGGTTAATTTACAGCTGAGGGTGAAGAGAAGCAAATTAAATATATGTTTAGGGCCGGCCGAGTGGCGCATTGGTTAAGAGCTGGCTTGGGACGCCTAGAGGGCCCCGGTTCGGATCCCACATATGAGGGCCAGTGACACTGCCCTCTACAGCTACGATGCTGAACAACAACTCAACCTGGAGCTGGGCTGCCGTGAGTCGCCAGTGTCAGCATAGGCTGCAGCCCCTGCTGCAGTGGGTTGCCATGGGCTACCATGTGTAGCCCACAGCCAGCATGAGCGGCCAGCTGCAGCAGTGAGCAGCCATCCAGAAGCCGGCGACTGATCTGCCTCACCCGGGGAAGAGCGCAATGATGGTGCCAACTTGGGACAGTGAAGCAGCGTCCTCCGCAATTAGACTGAAGAATGAAAATGATAGCTACTTGTCTGTTCCCCTTCCCCAATTCCCCAGTGCTGTCCCCATCCCCCAATTCCCCAAAAAAAAAAAAAAAAAATATATATATATATATATATATATATATATATATATATATATATGTTTAAATTCAACAGATACTACCTGAGTTGGAAGTGAGTGCTTTGTAAGAAGTTCTAGTCATGCAAAAGCTTAAACTTTAATATGATACATACTCCCTTCCAATAAACAAGTCATGGATTAGAAATATTGTTAGAAGCACACTCTTATTATTTTACTTGCTATTTGAATGTTTTGTAATGCCACTCAGAATTCTAAGTATCCAAGATATCTGAATGTCTTAAAGGCACTGAAGACTTCCAAACTAAAGTAGCCAATAGATTTGTTTCATTCTCTTCCTTTTGACAGATGGGAAGCACTATTTTAGCCAAATGTCAAAGATCAACGTGAGATAGCATCCAAACTGATTTCCTGGTATACAACCAGATAAGGAAAGCATAAAAGTCATCATCCCAAAAGGTTGGGAGTATGTGACTGGGGCAAAACTGAGCCATGTTGTTGAGTCTGGCAACATAAATTCCAATATAAATACTGTGGTAGTGTGAAATTATTCAACAAAACCCCTTGGGACAGCCCAAAATTAACTGAGACTTTAGGGAGAATCAGGATATGGACACTGTTTTGTGCCAGACTTTGAGAACTTAGAACAGCATCTGATCTTACAAATTTAGGACCCCCAGGTAGTCCTAATCCATTATTGTCTCCTTGGTTTAAATGGATGGAGCACAATTAGTCCTGAGGTTCATATCACTGTCAGAACAATGTTTAGTAGTTGAACAACCCAATTCACTCATCATGAAGTTCATTATTTTGGTTGTACTAGCAGGTGAAAACTGCATTTACATACTTGGAAAGAGAAAGTTGGTTAAAAATGGCCCTACATAATGCTTGCCTCTGTCCTCCTTGTGAAGTGAATGAAAGTCATGATCTGGTTTATTATTATAGAGAAACACTGCTGTTCAGATGGCAGGGTGCTAGAGAGAGATGAAAGATTTTGATCTAACAAATCTGATGATAATAATAAAAGTAATAAAAATAATGGCCTTTTATTAAGTATCTACAATGAGCTGGTTACTGTATTAGGCTCTTCATACACATGAAGTTATCTGATCCTCATAACTAACTTGGGTAAGTTGAGTATTATTATTCCTCATTTTGCTAAGATCCAGAAGGGTTAATTAACTTGCCCAAGGCCATTTAACTGATCTGTGGCAGACAAGATCTGAACCCAAATTGACCTGACTCCAAATCCTTTTTTTCTTAATAAGCGCTGTGATGCATGCCTCTATCTGCAAATGCCAAGAGCCACATGACAAATTTATACCCTGTAGAGTTGAGACTAATATGATATTCTAATATTGAAAGTATTACAGAACCCTCTAATTAGTCATAGTCTAGATATTTGTTTCAACAAGTCCTTGGAAGTCAGCATGTATTCTCAATTGAACCTAGATAATTAGAAGCATACTGTACACAATGGATTGCTAAGCAATTATAAAACTTTTGGACTGAGGTATCATTACAGTGGTGATTCTTCCAGTAGAACAAACCACAATAATCTGTGCCTATATTTAAAGGTTCATAAAATAATAGTACATGATAGCAAAATGCAAGTAATTTACCAATAGAATTTCCACCGGATGTTGTTAGAAAGAAGAGACTGAATTAATGGATAAGTGATACCGTTTTATGTAGTAGATTCATAAAGCAGCCCAAGACTCTGCAAATGAATGACTTTTCTTTTTTTTTTTTAAAGAGCGTGCACTCTATCCACTGAGCCATCTGGGCAGCAGCTCAGCTCAAGGTGCCAAGTTCAGTCTTAGTTGCGGGTGGGCATAGCCACCATCCCATGCAGGAGTCGAACTGGCAGCCTTGTTAAGAGCACATGTTCTATCCACTGAGCCATCTGTGTAGCAGCTCAGCTTAAGGTGCTGAGTTCGGTCTTAGTTGTGGGTGGGGGTAGCCCACCATTGAACAGGCAACCTTGTTGTTAGGAGCACGTGCTTTCACCAGCTGAGCCATCCTGCCACCTGTTGGGAGCTCAGCAGCAGCTCAGCTAGGGCACAGCATTGCTGGCCCATGTGGGGATCGAA